TTAAAAATTTATCATTTTCTACTCTGACCAAATTACAGAGTTATGTTAATATGCTGATTTACTCTGACCAAATTACAGAGTTATGTTAATATGCTGATTAGTAATGTAGTTCTTAATCTTAGTTCTCATTGGAACTCACTCATAGCTCACCCAACACGGGTTTTCCAAGGCTCTAAATTGCCCGGGAGCAGACTGCTCAACTTTTCCCCTCAGAGCTGCTGATGGATTCGAATCACCAGTTAGAACTGTCCTTTGAGTCAGCAGTGTTAACTCCCAGAGTTTATCTTTTTCTGATGGTTTTCATCAATTCTAAATATGACCTGGACAGAATCCCAGAGGAGTGTAAGCAACCAACAGATGAGATTTACAAAGAAACTAAAGAGTCAATACTTTTTTATTCGATTTACCCTTAGAGGATCAGAGAAGTTAGCTATAATTTAGGCCTCAATATAATAAAGGGAACAGAGAAGCAAGCTAAGTATACTACAACCAAATAAAAATTGGATAGTGTCTAAGAGGCCAAAGTGCTCTGTAATTTAAAGGGAGATAACACCTAAGATGGACCATAAGTGAAAGATAAGAATTTTTACAACAGAAATGATAATCCAGGTAGAGAAAAAAAAATGCTGATAGGGCTGAGAAGATAAAAGACCTGTAAAACATAGAATATAATGGACCTATAAAAGAAATGTATGAATAGATGGGGGACATTCCTTCAAACTTGGGTGGGGGAGATAAAATAACATCAAAAGTTACAGCATGGTTAAAGACAATGAAAACTGAAAACAAAGACATGAACACTCAATTTAATAATCACATTATTGGCAGCCTTACACAACCTCAACGATGAGGCAAGAAACCTGACTGCACAAGTATTAAGCGTGGAAAACATACAAAAGATTCAACCTGAAAAACAATCAATCACTAATGAGAAAAAAATGGGTATTTTAGAATAAAGAAGACTTGAACACGTCTGCTGGCAGAAAGGAAGGATTCAATGGAAAGGGGAAATTGGCAATTTTGACAAAACTGACAAAAAAACCTTGGAACAAAGTTACATAAGTAGATGGAGATAAAGGTGTAAAGAGGAGAGCTGGGTGATGGAGAGAGGCGTTTTTGACTTGGGGAAAGAGGAACATTTCTCAGAGAGTTGAGCAAGTGGGCTGGGTGACAATCACCTGAAATAATGGGAAAGAAAAGTGCTTGGAGACTTGAGGGGAGCGGGTATTTTTAAAAAGATGTAGATTTTCAGCAAGAGGCAAACGGGATTCCAGCATATGAGGAGATTCGGATCTTGGATTCGGAAACATAAATTTGCAAATATGACTTTCAAACAACCTCAGAGGTCTGGAAGGCTATGGTGACCATAAAAGCAAAATCTGGGTAAGGAAATTAAGGGGGGGAAATTACTTTGCTAAATTAGTCGAGTGGCAAGGGTGGTAGACCAGTAAGTACTCTTTAACTGTGTGGTTTCCTTTCTGAACAAAATTTTCCCAAGGTCAAAATGAAAACTTTTCCAGTTACGTTTGAAGGCTGATGGCCATGGTGTTTGAAAGCCATGTTATTAGGGCAATGTAATGAGATTTCTTAACTCTTTTTCAGTTCTGAGACAATAAAATGAGGACTTTTTACGTGTAAAACGTCACCAGCTGTGACAAACCACAGAAATTAGTTAACTGCACAACCAAACCCAGGGTACCACTTACCCAGCAGCTTCGGGGAAACCCATCTTGTAGAGTGTGACAACCACAGCTCCTCCGAGGCCTAAATTATGCTGCAGAGCAACCTTTGCGCCGGGAACTTGCCTCTTTCCGGCTTCCCCTCTCAGGTGCCAGCAGAGTTCAGCACACTGAGCCAGACCTAACAAGTCGAACACAGAGGAGGCGGATCAGTGGCTTTACAAAGCAGCTCCTAAGCCAGTTTGCCCAAACTATCAAATAAGGATGTTTCATTGTAGCTTCATTAAAACATTTAATAGACCGAAACCTGATTTGCTTTAAGTACTAAGATCTCTTAAAAAGCGTGCGGGGTTTATGGCTGGTTTGTCTGTCTCCCACCCCTCCCACCAAGTAATCCACATAGTTCTGTTTGAGAATTTTCCTCAATTCTTTAAACTTTAGACAACCTTATTATGCAACCTGTCAGTTACCAACACATTGGAAATAAAATCTCTGAATATGCAGTTTTCTTGTTCAGTAAAACAACATACAAAAATTTTCTTGAATTTAACTATTTTTTAAATAAAAAGAAAACAGGGTTTATAACGTCACATTCCCTAGAAAATTTAACTGCCATGAAGAATTATCCTATTATTTTCCCTAACTACTTCCCAACAAGAGTACATTGTTTTTTCACCTATTCATAAGCATTCACAAAGACAAGCCTGGTTTCACAGGAGAAATAGCATTTTTGTCCCCTTGTTACTGTTGTTGTATATGGTGAGTCAGAACCAAGCCATGGCTGACCTGCCATAAAGTTTTCTGAGTCAGTAAATCTCATGGGAAGAAACTGCCCCTCTTTCTCCTGTGGAGTAGCTGATGGCTTAGACAGAACTGCTTGTCTTTGGATTGGCAGCACAACTCCCTAGCACTAAGCCACCAGAACTCCCTTTTTCCCCCTAGGTAGAAATATCTAAATATTTTAGAGCTGGATACAACCTACTGATGTAAGCACTGGGAAGCACAAAGAGTAAATTGGAATTAGAACCCTTGTTTTGTAATTTAACATTTGACTGGCTTTTGAGTAGACCAGACACTATGGTGAGCTCAGTTAACAATGTACTACCAGGAAAAGTTCTTTCCACTGTCTTGGAGCAGACCTCCAGGGTTAATATGCCATTGTGTGATTGTACCATAGTTTCTTTGGTCATTCATCCGTTGACGAACACTTTGCTATCATAAATAATGCTGCAGTGGGCATAGATGTACATGCATAGTGTTTTCTTAGCTTTGATTTTTACTGATTTTTTTCCAGGCCTTCTGCATAGCCACTGGATGGATTCTGAACTAGAGCTTAAAATCTGAAGCATTTGGCAGGTGAAAGGCTGAAGCCTATAGTAAAGTTCTAACACCATTCCAATTCTTGATTTAAGTTCAAACACCATTTGAGATTCTTTCTAACCATCAAACCAGCCATAAGGTTCTATAAAAGTGTAGTTGAAAGCATTACTACCAGGAGGATTTGCAAAGAGAACCAGGAAGATTCTCATAATGTATCCTTAGTGATTCCCATTCGTCATAGATCTAAATACCACGTATCCCAGTGGCAGAGACCCCAGAACTAATCCCACAAGTTTTTAATTTGAAATTGTGTACATATTCCAATAATGGTTTTAGCTTGCTCAGGCAGTCCCACCTACAGTGGTGCTTAGAGCCTCAGTGATGATCCAGCTGAACCCCTTCAGTGGCATGTTGATGGTTTTCCTTTATTCCAGAATGATTTAGCTCCTGGTTTTGCCCTGGTAATATCTTAGTAATAAGAGTCTCTACAGCTGCTCCTTAGAAACAAGGTTTCTAAAGATTCATCTGACATACTTTGGGCATGCTGGAACTAGTCCTTGGAGAGGGACCATGGTTAGGAGGGTGGAGGGACAGCGCAAGAGAGGAAGACCCTTGATGAGATGAATTGACTCAGTGCCTGCGGTAATGGGGGTAGGTGTATCAGAGAAAATAAGGTCAGCTCAAGATAGAGCAGGGTTCAGAGCTGGTGTACATAGGGTCGCTATGAGTTGCAAGCAACTTTAAGGCACATAACAACAACAGAATATGTTAAAACTGGGAAGATCAAAGATTGTAGCTTTCAATATGGATTATATCTCAACATCCAGAAAACAAAAATCCTCACCACTGAACCTATAAGCAACATTAAGAGAGATGGAGAAAAGATTGAAGTTGTTACTTTGATTCACAATCAACATCTAGGATAACAGTAGTCAAGAAATCAAAAGGGATGCTGCATTGGGAAAATCTGCAGTCAAGGGCCTCTCCAAAGTGATAAATAGCAATGAAGTCAATTTAAAGACTAAGGTGCACCTGATCCAAGCCATGATCTTTTCAATTACTTCCATGCATTTGAAAACTGGACAATGAGTAACGATGACAGAAGAAGAATCAATGTCTTTGAATTGTAGTGGTGGGGAAGATAATGGAATATTCATTCTATGGACTGCCAAAAGAACAAACACATCTATCTTGGAGGAACTGCAACCAGAAGTTCCTTAGAGGAAAGGATGATGAAGCTTTATCTCACAATCTCTGAGCATGTAGTCAAGAGGGTGCCAGTCCTTGGAAAAAGACATCATGCTTGGTAAGGTGGAGGGACAGAGACAGAGAGGAAGACTCTCAACAAGACGGACTGACACAGTGACTATTAAATGGGTTTGAGCATATCAGAGATAGTGAGAATAGCACAGGATAGGGCAAGTTCAGATCTGTTGTTCAAAGGGTCACTATGAGTCGTTGTCAACTTGATGGCACCCAACAACAATAATACTTCCCTGGAAGGGAGTCCTGGGAGCCTACTGAGTAGAACGTTGTGCTGCTGACCCAAAAGCAAGTGGTTTGGATCCACGAGCTGTGTTCCATGAGAAGAATAGGCAATTTCCTCCCATGCAATTTACAGCCTCTAAAGACTTGCTGGAGGTTCTGTTATGAGTTGGTTCCAAATTAATGGCAATGAGAGAGGGAAGAAGTATTCTCCTCAAAAAGTTTAAACCTCAGCCTTTACACTGGCAGCCAATCCCAAACCACTTACACTACCCAGGCTCCTCAAAAGGAGTTACTCAGGCAAAAAGGGAAAAAGTCTATTTCAGGAAGAAAGATGAGGAAAGAAGAACACAACTTGCAGGAGGAATAGAAAGTCAAGTGGGTGAGGCTATAGCGAAGGCAGTAAGCAACAAAGTCAGCATAAGCCTGTGTATGGAGAGTGGGGACAGTGGTGCATGAAAGGGTAGAAGATGAGAGAAGAAGGGAGGAGGAAGGAGAAAAGGTAGAGGTGTGCAGGAGAAAGAGATTTTGAGAGCTCCTGAAAAGAATGTAAGAGGAAGAGAACGGAAGGGAGAGAAATGAATGTGTTACGTTGGGGTGGGACAAAAGGTAAGCAGAGACTAGGTAAGAAAGTGTCTTATATTTTGGGCTTAATAGTCTGAACATAAGTAAAAGACACTATTGCAAGAGATGGTGAGGATGGTTCGGGACAGAGCAAGGTTCACATCTGTTGTTTATAGGGCCACTATGAGTTGTATTCAACTCCATCACACCTAACAGCAACAATTTTATTCATGAAAAAATATCTGGTGATGTTATGATCTGGTGTATCATGTGTTACCCGGCCTACTGAAAAATGGTAAGTACGACTCGCAGAAGCCCTACGAACAACTCTCTGAATACTTGAGCCCACTGATGCAGTGACTGTGTCAGCCCACCTGGTTGAGGATCTTCCTTCTCCTTCTCCGTCCCTCAACCTTCCCAAGCATGATGGCCCTCTCCAAAGAATAACCTCTCCTAGCAACATGCCCAAAGTATGTAAGACAAAGCTTCATCATCTTTGCCTCCAAATAGCACTCTGGCTGCAGCTTCTCCAAGACATATCTGGCTGTTCTTTTGGCAGTCCATAGGATAGTCAGTATTCTTCTCCAACACCACAATTCAAAGGCATCAATTCTTATATCAACCTTATTCATTGCCCAGCTCTCAGATGCATAGCAAGTGACAGAAAAGACAATGGCCTGAAAAGTTAGTGGCTAGAATCCACCAGCTGCTCCCTAGGAGAAAGATGGACAGTCTCCTCCCACAAAGATTTACAGCCTTTGAAATGTCATGAAGGGTTCCTATTCATCAGAATCAACTTGAAAGCCCTAAGCTGGGTTTTGAGTGTTTGTGTGTTTTAAATTACCAGTGAAAATTTTATGGAGCAAAACAGAATCATCTCATAGAGTTCTGGAAAATGAATTCTTGTGTAATGGCCTGAATAATGGACTCAAGCATCTCTACGTTCATGAGGATGGCCCAAGATTTACACCCAAGGCTGTCAGGAGTCAGAGCTGACTCAATGGCATCTGTTGTTGCTGTTCATTGCCATTAGGTCAGAACCAACTCATAGCTGAGACTCTCCAGTGTTTTTTCAGAGGCTATAAACTGGGAGGAGGAGACAGCCTATACTTTTCCTGAGGAGCAGCTGACAAATTTGAACTGCTTGCCTTTGAGTAAGCACTCACTTACCCACTAGACCACCATTAATTCATTAACTCATCCACTCAGCACTCATAGAAAGTATATACGGTGGCCTAGTGGTAAGAAACTGCACTGCAATCATTGAAGAATGCAGTTCAAATCCACCAGCTGCTCTGCTGGAGAAGGATGGGCAATCTGCTCCTGTGCAATTAACTATCTTTGAAAACCCACTGGAGGGTCAACTATGGGTTGTTTCCAACTTGATGGCACACAACAAAATAGATGATAGAACAAAATATTTAAGACCATAAAATAAAAAATGTCTTGCTGTTGTTGTGTGCTTTCGAGTCAATTATGACTCATAGAAACCATATGCACAATAGGTTTGAACCCTGGCCTATCCAAAGCCAGACTCACTACTCCAACACACCCACCCCTCATTACTCCAATTACTGTGTCAATACATCTTATCCATGGTTACCTTCTCCTGCGCTGAACCTCCACTCTTCCTTCTCCAGGGTCTGGTACTTTCTGGCAACATACCCAAAGTATGTGAATGGAGCTTCAAAATCCTTGCCTTCAAGGAACAGCTTAGTTTCACCCTCTCCTAGACAGACCTGTTTGTTCTCTTGGCAGTCCATAGTACATTCAGTACTTTTTTTTAGCTCTAGACCTCACCTGGATTCTTCT